TTTATATGGGGAATCTTAAAAAGATGATACAAATAAACTCACTTATAAAACATAGAAAGAGACTCACAGACATGGAAAACAAATTTATAGTTACCAAAGGGGAAAGGAGAGGGGTAGGGAATAAATTAGAAGTCTGGGATTTGCAGACACAAACTATTATATATAAAATAGATAAACAACAAGGTCCTAATGTATAGCACAGGGAACTACATTCAATATCTTGAAATAACCTATAATGAAAAAGACCATACATACATGTATAACTGAATCACTATGTTGTACACCAGAAACTAACACAACATTGTAAATCAACTACACTCCAATTGAAAAAAAATAAATAAAGAGGCACTGTGAGTCAAGTGTGATGACTCTGGGGCAAGCATGATCTCATTGTGAAACCTGGCCTGACCCTTTGTCAGCTTGTGTTTGAGGAAGTTGCTCAAGGTCTCTTGAGCCTCAGTGTCCTCGCTGGGTAATAATATCAACCCTGTAAGATGATGATAGAGATTTTCTATTTAGAGCAAGTGGTTTCTGCTAACAGGGGTGATATAAATTTTCCTTATAAAATACATTTAAAAGATAGAGATGGAAAGGTCTAACCCACAGCTGATCAATCAATGGTGTTATGGGTGTCTATACTTAATACCGCGAGAACACAGGGCAGAGTATGTGGGGTCAGGACAGGAGGCAGTGTTCAGGAAAGCAACAGGAGATGAAGCAGCAATGCAGCTGGATCAGAAAGAGTGAGACCTCAGGCCCATGGGGGAAGAGCACATGGCAGTAGAGGGGACCCCGTGGGCCAGGGCCAAGGCACACAGGCATTAATGTGCAGCATGGCTGTGGCCCTGGGAGTAGAAGGAGATGAGGAGGGAGGGTGGGCCGGAGCCTGCCTTGATCCTGTAGGCAAGTGCGCCACATAGGGCGAGCTTTCAGGAAGGTGGGAAGTGATCTGCTGTTTCCAGGAAAGTGGGAGATGGTTTGTTTCCTGGACATGACACTAAGCAACACTGAGTCACATGATGAGAAAGTCATTCTCCTTCAATTCTCTTTCAAGCTTTGACTCATTCCAGGGGAAAGTCTCAGTTTTTAATACTTAATACCTGTGATCTTCACAGGCCTCAAAGTGATTGATTTCCTCAGGCAACTGTAACCACTAAGAATTCTGTAACAGGGGGAGTATAGCTCAAATGGCAGAGCACATGCTTAGCATGCACGAGGTTCTGAGTTCAATCCCCAGTACCTCCTCCAAATATAAAAATAAATAAATCCAATTACCTCCCCCTCATAGAACAAAACAAAAAACAAAAAAGGAATTCTGTAACATTGTTATGTTTTGTTTTTATGATTATCTTCTATTTAAAGTGGCTTCTGCTAACAGGGGTGATATAAATTTTCCTTATAAAATACATTTAAAAGTGAGCCATTTACAGGAAAATACTAAAGAAAGGAAAGTACAAGGTGAGATGCAGAAAGGGTAAAAACCACAAAGGTTGTATGTACTCCCATGACCAATCTTCAGGAAATGCTGCTGAGAGTACTAGGAAATCACCCAAATTCTAGGCCAGGCAGGGTCAGGGTCAAGTCTGGGTCTTGGAGAGACAACTGTGATAGAGGGGAGAGGGCAGTCTGGTCAGTAAAGCCCTGAGGCAATCCAGGTGGAAAGTGAGGTGTGTCTGCGCCAGGGCAGTGGGCTTCAGGACTTGAGGAGACAACCTGGAGGCAGACAAGACGCGGTCTGTGACCTGCTGTGAGGTGGCAGAGGGGGAGGTCACCTCTGCTTCTGTCGCGTGAGCTGTACCTGCAGCCAGGTGTCTGTCACTCAGATTCATATCATCTCTCATCAGACCAAGTGCTTCTTGGGGACAATGTTCCCACCTCCTGAGTCTTTTCCAACTGCCCAGAGCACGTGGCCCCTCAGGGGGATCTAGCTGCATAGCTCGCCAACCGACAAGTCAAGATCTCAGACCAGGGTGACCAACCAGCCTGGTTTGCCTGCAACTTTGGGGTTTCCCAAGTCAGGAGACTTTCAGCACTAAAACAGGGACAAACTGCAAACTGGGAAGAGCTGGTCACCCCACTTCTGAAGGTCCTTGCAGTGTGGGAGTCCTGGGCCAGATCCTGTGGGGCTGGAGTTGCTAGCCTCTGGGGCCAAAGTGAGAAGCTCACACTGTCTACATGGGCTCAGGCCCTGGTAATCAGCTCACGTTTATATGACCGGCACCACCCAACTCAGAGCCGACCTCCAACCTCTCAAAAAGGTTGTGACCTTAGTCCTTTTCAAGAAAATATGTTTCACCCTAACTAGAAGTCTCCAGTTCAAGTTTAGAATTCAAAGGCCCCAAAAATGCCACTTTCCAGGCTTAGGAACTGTTCTCAAAGGAATGCTTCTGACCCCAACATTCGGGGGCCCACAAGACTGACTCCATCCCATCTTCCAAACGTAATCCCCCAAATTCTCTGAAGCACTCCTTGTGTCCAGCCAATATGGCCTGCTCGGGTACATCTGTCCCCTCTCCTTCCCTCTGTCCTTTCCTCCCCCATTTGCACACTGTGGGGGCTCCCTTCACAAATCTTCCTGTGCTTGAACTCCACTCAAACTTCACAGGTATGGCTCAAGGCACCTCTCCATGAAGCCTCTCTGTATCTTCCAGGCAGAAGATAGTCCTGGTTTCTTTGCTCTTATTCCAAAGCTAGTCTTACCTGTGGCAGCCAGTCAGGCCTTCCACCTTGGACTGAGCTGGCCTGGAAACCACCAGAGGGCAAGGTTCACATCAGATACCCCCTCCTCCTGCAGTCAGGAGTAGCATATAGAATTAACACATAAATGATCAAACCCATAATGCCTAACTGGGAGAAATTTCAACTCTCTCCACCAGCCACCCGTGGACAGCAAGGAGGGCCTCCACAGAGGCTCGTCCATTCGGCCGACATCGCTAAGCCCTTCACACAGCAGACAAGGTGAACAAGACACCATCCAGGAAAGGCTCCCGGGCCTCCCTGACAATTGACAATTCCGTCATGGCCAGCACGCAGCACAAGCCAAGGCAAAAGGACAAGGTGCTCTGGGACTGTGTCATGAAGGTGTGGCCCAACTGGGGTCACAAAGCTTCCCAGGGTCGGAGACACTTGAATTGGGACCTAAGGATGACAGGACTGTGGCTATGGGAGACTGGGGACATGTCCCTGCTGCCATCTCTGAAGAAAAAGCAAGGGGACTGGGAGTCAAGGCTCTGCACCTCTGCTCCCAGCCGTGGGATCTCCTGCCTCAGTTTCCACATCGGCACAGCCAGGCTGTGGTGAGGATTTGCGGGGATAACGGAGGGAAGACACTCAGCCCATAGTCAAGGTCTCCCCAAACATGGGGGATTACTGTTGTCAATATGACCCAAACAGCTCACAGGAGGCCAGAGGATTCCAGGCAGCCAGACCTGAGACGGGGCTGAGCTGGACAATAATCCTGCCCCCACCTGGAGGGAGAAGTGGGGCTGCCACAGAGCCTCCCCAGCTGCCAGGTCAGACTGAAGGATTTTGAAGGAGCAGAAACCCTGGAGGCTGAGCAGCCAGGCCCGGGACTGCGAGGAGGAAGGAAGCTGGATGCAGGCAGAGGAAGACAGCAACCAAGGGCGTGGCTGAGAATAGGCCGGGGCAGAGGAACGAGACAAAGAACAGACAGGAGTCAGAGAACATCCTCTCCCCTCCTGCCTGTCGTCCTGAGCTGCTCCAGAGAATTAGCAGGATGACTTCCAGGATGGACGCAGCAGGGCTCTGACATGCACAGGCTGCCAGGTCTCTTCAGAGTCAACTGGGGATTTAAAAGCCTGTCTGAAAGCCACCCTGTTAGCGGAAGTAGCCAACCAAGGACCGGAAACCCCCAAGGTGTGCAAATAACCACGTCACTTCTCAGCAGGAAGGAGCTGGGGTGGAGCAAGCTGAGATTAAGGGCCTGGCCTTGGTGCCCAGTCATCCGGGGCACCCATGCAGTGTTCTGGGAGGCACAAAGGGCCAACTGGGGTGCTGGGAGCACAGGTCCTTAATGGCCACACTGGCCTTCCTGCCATTCCTCAAACACATCCGTCTGCTTGCCACTCCAGGCTTTTGCTTTTACTGTGTCTGGGTTGCCGGTTACTGGCTCCATTGGGCCATTCAGGGCTCATTTCAAATGCTACCTCCTCCCAAGGGCCCTGCCTGACCACCTAATCTAGCCCACTCTCCACACCACTGTGCTCTCCTCCAGATAACCCAAGCGGCTTAACTTCTCATCTCAGCAGGTTTTTGCTTCTTTGCTCAGAGGTCATCTCCTTCACAGGCCTTCCCTGCCCCACCCCATTTACAATCACACACCCTCCGCCAGCCCTCACTCTGCCTCCCCGCTTTTCTCTGTGTGCCATCCTAGACATTTAATTGTTAACTGTCTTTCTCCTCCCACTGGAATGTCAGCTCCAAGAGGATAGGGATTACCATCGGATTTGTTTGCTGCTGTCACGCTAGCATCTAGAAAAGTGCCTGGTGCACAGTAGGGGCTGAGTAAGTGTTTGATGAGTGAATGAATAAGTGTATGTGAATGTTTAAAAGCAGGGGTGCTGGTCAGAGTACCCGGGATCTCATCTCAGCTTTTCCACTTCCTATGTGATCTTCGACGATTTACTTAACCTCGTGAGACTCAACTTACTCAGTAAAGGAGAATACCATCAGCACCTATCTCACAGGATCACTGGGGGATCACACAAGATCAAGCACAGAGAGGCGAGCACAGTGCTGGCCTGCAGTGTGCACTCAGTACTGCCTGCTGTCAGCACCAGCCCTCACGTGCTAGCATTTCTCGCTTATTTGCTCACTTGTTTACCCTCTGTTTTCTCCACTCCAGTGTCACCTCCAGCCTGCCCTGCTCACTCCTGTACCCCCAGTTCCCAGCACAGTGTGGGAAGAAAAAATTGGGCCTCCTCTGGAATCAAGGACTGCAGAGCTGGGAGACATGGCTGTGGCTGGAGTAGGAGCCTCACCGATCTGTTTCTCCAGGGCGGCTGCCTCACAGACGGTGGCCCGGGGTAGGATCCCGGGGTCGGTGAAACTTGTCTGCAGCAGGCAGCTCATGACGAAGAAGAAGAGGATGGCAGCGATGATGGGGATGGCGAGGGTCAGCTGGCGGGCCAGGAAGGGACAGCTAGAAAAAGAGAGGAAGAGAGGAATGAGCAGACACCCAAGGGCTCCCTGGGGCACAGGGCTGCAGCACCAGGCAAATATCACCACAGTCCTGAACAGAGCCTTTCCCAGAGGCAGAGGTACGGCCCCTAGGTGAGGTACAGCCACTTGCCACCCTTCAGTGTCTAGAGCAGACACCAGTAATTGATCCTTGTGCTTTCTCCCTAAGCCCTTGGCAGATGTAATCAACAGATCCCAGCACCCAACTTCTGCACGTGGCCGCAGTCTCAGAATCCTTCTAAACACAGTTTCAGGTGGCCACTACCAATGAACTGGACTGTCACTTGAGATGAACCATCCATGACAGCTGTTCACTCATTCCTTTGGTCACTCCACAAACATTTACTGAGGTCTTCTCCATGTTAAGGGCAATACCTTTAACACGCAGCAGGGATAACGGCAGTGAATTATACAAGAGTCCCCTCGCTCCTTCCCTCAATGAGGCTTATGGCCTAGCGGGGGAAACAGACATGTAAACAGAGAATTGCCACACAGGGCTTTGCATGTTAGAATGGGGAAGGGAAAAGCAGTAGAAGAGTTAGGAAAGACTGGCTGAAGGAGACAACGCCTAAGCTAAAACCTGAAGAATGCGTAGGGTTAGCCAGGTGAAGGGGGTTTGGGGGAGAAAATGATCCAGCCACTGCCACTGTCACCCCAGGGCTGGCCTCACCCTCCTGACCCTAGTGAGTTCCAACAGCCTATGCGTGGGTCTGACTTCGAGGTCCACCCATATAATTAACCACTGTCCTATGCAGCCTTCCCTCCCAGAGCCAGAGTGGCACTTGATGGGGTCAGGAACTACTATTTGGGGATGACAGACGCCGGGAAGCCTGAATCAGCCAAGGTTCCAGGAGCTGGCTTGTAGCAGGAGCAAACCTGTGGGTAAATACAGGCTGTTTCCAGAGTCTCCATTGTTGGAGTTACTGGCTACCAGAGAGGCCCTTCCCTCGAGGAGCAGAGACTGCCAAAACCAAGGGCTCTGAGTGGGCTATGCTGTGCTCCAAACATCTTAGTGGTCCCCAGATCTGAGCCTCAAACAGAGCTGGGCCCTCCGTGTCACCCATCTAGCAACTCAACCAGTTCATGTACAACCAGACTTCTTGGGAGATGGAGGAGACTTGAAGTCTGAGACATGTAGAGCCCCCAGAAACACCAAGTCCTAGCCCTCTGGTTTTACAAAGGGGAACTCCAAAGCCCACAGCCAGATCCAAGGTCACTTAGGCAGGCAATGATAGAATTGGGGTCTGCAGGCTTCCAGCAAATGCTGGAACATTTCAACAAATAAATGTATCTGCTATATGACACTTTAATGTATATACTGTCTTGAGTGCCTAATACATTCCAGGCCCTGTTCTAGACACTGTGGATGCAACAGTGAGAATAAGTGCCTGTTCTCACGGAGAGATGGGCAAGAAACTAACAAAAAGCGTAAGTATAGTATGTCAGATGGTGGCAAGTGCTTTGGAGAACAAGTCAGGACAGAGGGGATAGGAGGAAAGGAAGTGGTTTGCTACGTATAGGGATGGTCAGGGAAGGACAGGAGAAAGTGAGGGAGTGAGCCATGAAGCTATGTGAAGAGTATTCCAAACAGTGCAAAGGCCCTGAGGTAGGAGTGTGCACAGAGAGGCCAGTGTGCCTGGGAGGGAATGCACAGGAGAGAGTGGGAGATGGGGACAGAGAGGGAGCCAACACCAGGGGTCTGGCTCTTAACCAGAGAGCCAGGGAATATTCAGATCTGACTTGGAATTAAAGGGGCACTCAGGCTCCTGTGTGGGGATGGGAAGCAGGGCAGAAGCTGGGAGCCCTGCTGGGAGGCCTGTGCAATAATGTACCTAATCAAACAGTGGAGAAGACCCTTCACAGCAGAAAAGGCCTAGGGCTGCGTTTACCTTTCCCCAGAGCCGTGGGAGAGTGCGAGAGCCTCTCACCCTCCAGGCCCTCATCACCAGAGCTCCCATCTGCCAGGTTCCTACTGAGGTTTCACCCCAGTCCAGACCCAGATGGGCTTTCAGCCCAAACCCAAACCCAAACTCTCTTGCCAATGCTACCAACCCAAGTGAGGAGGAGCAGAGAAAAATATGAGATGATTCACAAGCTCTCCCAGAACCCAGAAGTCCTCACTTCCTCCCTCTCTGGGGACAAATCTATCACCAGTAAAGATATCCCCTCAGCCAGAGAAGGTTTTGCTTCTGAACTGACTGAATCCCACACTGTGGGGTCACAGGGGCCAACTGTGGCAAGCACCACTTCCTCCTGCCGTGGCTGCAGCCCTGTCTGGGAGGACTGAGGGAGCTCAGGGATCCTGGAAAAGGCATTTTAAAAAAACCCACATTGGTCAGCCCAGCAAGGTGGATCTGAAACTCAGCCCAACAGTCATGCTGGAGGCTGGGGGCTCTGCTTGTTAAATTACCCCGGAACTTTTTATCCACCCTGAGTCAGAAAGGAAGGGTGAAAGGGAGAAGCTAATTCGTAGGAAGTCCTCACCTTGCTTCAAGGGGAAACCCAAGGTTGCAGATATATAGTCTGGCAGCTAGAAAGGGTACCTGGGGGCCAGTGTCTTTGTGGCAGCTTTACCATGGCCCTTGGGAAGGATTTTTTGGTGATGGACAACAAGTAACAGCAACATCCAGCATTAAATGCTTATTACCAGTTAATAACTTCCATGAATGACTTCACGTCATCCTCACGACAACCTGAGGAGGCAGGTAGTATTATAAACTCCATTTTATAGATAAGGAGACAGGGGTTCTCAGAAGTAGAGTGACTGCCCTGAAGTCACACACTTATTTCTTGGTGGAGCTGTGATCTGAACCAGCTCTGCTGGCTACAGAGATGGAGTTCTTAACCATCTGTATAATTCAGTAAGATCACAAAGGGTGGGTAGGTGGGGCTCATGCAGCATGGGGTGGGTGTGCATTTGTGTGCACCTATGAGTGTGTGTGTGCAAGGAATCACAAAGCAGGTGGCTCAAGCTGGAGACCAAGGGTAGAGTGGAAAACTTCTGATACAAATATGTGACCCTGGTAAAGTGACAGGCATCCCCTCCTCCATCCATGAAATGGAGACTACTGTATGGGTCAATACTGGGTCACTGGGGATATGAAGAGGTCAAAAACCCATGGGGGCAAATATGACTTGTCACATGAAAATACTCTGGACTCTTGAAAAATAACAAGGCATTGCAGCTGTTCCTGCCGTGGAACAGGTCAGAGGGTGTTCTGGAATGCTGGGAAGGGAAAGCAAGCCAGAAGGTCAGGAGGATGGGGACAGGGGCCTGGGAGATGTCTGGGGGGACAGGAGGAGATGGAGGGAAGGACAGGAAGCTCTGGAGAAACTAAGGAAGGTGCTGGAGAGGAAAAGGAAGGCATGAGAGGACCTAGGGTGAGAACGACTGAGGGGAAAGCCTGGGGAGGGTCTGAGCGTAGAGAGATGACTAGGGGACCTAGTCCAGACCCTAGAGGGACCCTGAAGGGAATCCAGAAGATGGACAGGGAATCTGAGGTGGGAGCATGTAGCCAAAGGACAAGGAATAAATTCAGGTTTCTGGAAGGGATTTAAAGAAAAGATGTCTCAAGGGGTCAGAAAGAACCTGGAGGTTAGGCAAGAGATGGTCCAGGGGATAGTGAGGGGAGGGAATCTATCCAAGGAGCTGAGGAGGCCTGGGGCAGATTCTGAGAGGGCAGAGAGGATGAGAGTCCTGGAGGGATATGGGAGGGTGGTGTTCCTGGCAGAGGCTGGCAAAGGCAGGGTGACAGGGGAAGATGGGGGTGCTAGGGAGGGGCCAGAAGGGATGGATTGGCTGACAGAGGTGGAGGGCACAAGCTTAGATGGTGATCCAAATTGGCAAGGGAGGATGTAGAGTCTGGGAGAGTTGGAGGGGACCAGGAAGGACAGATAGGAGACAAGCAAGGAGACTGGAGAGGCCTGAGGGCAGATTCTGAGAGGCACAGGGAGGATGCCCGCCAAGGAGGAGCAGGGAGGGGAGGGTGCTTGGCAGGTGCTAGGAAGGGTGGAGTGTCCAGGGTGATAGGAGAGGACGGGGAGCCCAGTAGGGGATTAGAGGGGCTGAAGTGCCTGCCCATCAAGGGCTGGGGAAGGAGGTGGGGGGTGGTGCGCGGCAGGGGGCAAAGGGGATCGGAGGGAATAGGGCGCCTCAGTGGGCAGGGAAGGGAGGCGTCGCCAAACTCACTCGAAGACGAAGAAGAGGACGGTGGTGGTGAGGATGAGCAGCAGCGTGAGTGCGAAGACGCCGCCGTGGCCGGCCAGCATGAGGCGGCCGCCGCAGTAGAAGCGGTTGCG